TAGGAAATAGTGAGAAACCGGAAGCCAATGGAGGCCAAGGTCCTGAAGGGCCAGCCTAACTATCCATGGGGTCATTTTCCCCACGGAGCTACCAAAGGAGAGGAGACCTATTTTCACCTGAAATACACTCATTATTAAGACTGATTCCATTTTAGATTTTCAAGAATATTTCTGTGTGTAAGCACATTATTTTTAGACGCAAACATTTTCACATGGCGCAGCAACCCATCCAGTGTTTAACAGACTGTGTAGGAAACGAATTTTCCACCTGTCCAGATCAAACAGGATGCCGGAAGCCCAAGAAAATACAAGAAGCTGGTTCAACGTAGCAACCTGAGTTTTGACAGTCTGTGCTGTTTTTCACAGCATCGTGCACTTGTTTCTCTTTGTCCAACTTCTTTTCCTCCTTTTCCCTACCCATTTTCCCTGTCTCTCCCTTCCTCAGCTGGTCCCCAAGGGATGCACTTCAGTTTCTCATCAATCCTCATCACCACCCCCCTCCCCGCCCCCAACTTTCTGAATTGGAGTGACTCACCTTCTCATTAGTGGGGTTGTAACTCTGGAGTCAAGTCACCTTGGTTCATAACGTCTTCTCAGTTCCCAGCAACATCTGCTCCCGGGCATGACGACTTTTGATGGCAACTGTCCCTCCCTGAAGCCTGAAGCTCTGACTCTATTCAGGGGCAGAGTAAAGAACCAAATCGCTGTTTCTCAGGTTTGGACATCCCACTTGACAGTTCTGCAGAAGTGAAAGAGTTGCTTTATTATCTGCAAAGATTGACACAATTTGGGGGAACTTTCTCCTCTCTGGTCTGTGGCAGGTTTTCTTTTGCAGAAAGAAAAGTTAAAACAGAAAAGTTAAGAAGTTTGAAAATCACTGCCCTTCCTGGAATTTGAACTGAATATTATTAAGACTGGAAATACTCAAGCATTTCCTAGTTTCCTAGAATATTATTAAGACTGGAAATAATCAAGCATTTCCTAGTTTCCCTTTCACTAATCAGTCTCCCTAAGTCATAGGAAGTACAATGGAGAGCACATATATTTTGGATTAGAGAGACACAGGCAGGCTGAAAACCTAGCTCTCATTTATCAGCTCTATGATCCTGAGTGAATTACTTGACCTCTCTGAAACTCAGTTTCCTCAGCTATAAAATGGGGGCAAGCAAGGCCTATTTCACCCCATCATTGGGAGGATCAAATGAGATAATGAATGTAAAGCAACCTCTTTAACCAACCACAACAATCCTATTAGGCATTATAATCTCCATTTCACAGAACAGGGGGGAATGGGGAATGATTCAGGAAGGTTAAAGCACATGCCAAATGTCACAGTCACATTGTAGGTGTTTAGTAAATGAAGTCTATTATTTATCAACCCAAGAAACATGGATTCTCACCTATCTCAAAATAACTCGTTAGTAAGTTGGAGGGCCTTTGCTCTAGTGGGTGAAACAGCCAAGCTTCCTTTTTAAAGAGCTCGTCAGAGGCCTTTCCAGGGAAGCCCAAAGGGAAAGGTTCTTCTCATTTTCCAAACCCTGACTTCGTTGTACGCTTTACTGAAATGTTACCTCTTTAGTCAACCCAACAACACTTCTAGTTACCATCTCCTTTTCCCAGAGCAGGATCCAGAACTTTGAGAAATGTTAAATCATTTGTCAAAGGTCACAGGTTTTACTTATGGTGGAACCAGGTTTGTAAATCTAGATCTCTATGCCCTTGAATACCATGTTTTTCCATCCCGGCTCATGGCTGTCCCTCACCACCCATCGGCTCAGGGCACGGAACCGTCCTTAGATGTTGGAGGAAGAATGGCTAAACCTTTTCAAGGGGCATCCTCTGCGGCAGGTTCTTCTATTAGCCCAACAAACCCATCACGTTTTCTAGAATGAAGCCTAAATAGAAATGAATCTTAAATAAAAAGCAGAAATCAGGGTCAAATCACCAGATCAATAAATTGAAAAGGGCAATACAGTGGAAGGCATTTCAAGGTGCAAAACAAAGGAGAGGAGAGTCAGATCAAATTCCAAATTATTTCCAGGAGGAATAGGGACCTAACAGCATAAACTTTTAATTGTGTACATGCTAAAAGGTTTAGAAAACCAGGTTAGTAATAATGGAGATGTTTCTCTCCTGCTGATTCCCACTGTTCTTCTTACCTCACTTTCCCCTCCAACCCACACCGCACATCCTCCCTGGCTCACTAGGGACTGTGAATGAAAGACAGAAAATGAATTTAAAGAATCCACAAGCGTACTCTATATCCTTGCCTTCGCACCGACCCTCAGGTGATTAAAGAAATGTGCATGTGAATCACCTGGTGATCTTGTTATAATGCAGATTCTGGTTAAATAGGTCTTGGGGTGAGGCTTCTATTCTGCTTTTCTAACCGGGAGCGCAGAGTTCAGATAACGTCACTCAGATTCTTCAGCTCTTCTTGAAATGTCAGTGCAGCCCTTAGAATTCAAGGTATCCTCGCGGAAGCAGGGCCCTGAACTCTAAAGTGTTACTCCCTCCCAGACCTCAGAGGACTCTCAGCTGGAAACTCTCTCGACGGTTAGAACAGAATCTGCCTAAGTAGAACAGGCACTCAAGTTAGAGCAGGCACGTAACCGATTGTATAGACTCTCACCTTGAATCAAAAAAAGACAGAAAAGAAAGGGCCGTGAGAGACCCAACGAACCCAAGTGATAACCTCTGAATACAGACCAGACGCTGATTGTCTTAAAGTCAAATTTCTTTCCATTTGAACTTCGAACGTGAACAATTGGCTGGCAGTAGGGCCTATTGGATAGAAGTCAGGGAGAAGGGACGGTGAGTTAATCAGGAAAGGCAAAACTAGACTGATCCAGCACAGAACTGGGCTGGAGCAGGGGTCAGTGGGGGCCTTCTCCTTCTTTTCGTCAGTTAGGGTAACTTTTCTGGCTCTGATAAAGTGAAAGAGAGTCAAGTGGGTGAGCTGTAAAACTGGCTAAGGCTTAAGGACGTGAATTCTGCTGCAGGGGGCCAGAGGAGAGGTTGAGCCAGCTTCATGAATGCTGCTTCTATGCACGAGGGTTGAAAACTTTGGCTGCAGACAAGAGAAGGGCAGAACTCACTTTTTCTTTGTCTCTGTTTCTTGAAAACCTGCTAAATCCCAGCAGCTGGGCCATATATTGTCTTTTATCACCCAGTAGCAGATTCAGGTTGAGGCTGAGGTTGAGTTGAGAATATGATCAAGAACCCCAGGATTTAGGGCCGGGCACGATGGCTCATTCTTATAATCCCAGCTACTTGGGAGGCTGAGGCAGGAGGATCAGTCGAGCCCAGGAGTTGGAGATCAGCCTGAACAACATGGTGAGACCCCCCCAGCTCTAAAAAGAAAAAAAAAAAAAAAAGGTTCGGCGTCATGGCTCATACCTGTAATCCCAGCACTTAGGGAGGCCGAGGTAGGAGGACTGCTTGAGCTCAGGAGTTGGAGACCAGCCTGGGCAAGATAGTGAAACCTCATCTCTACTAAAAAACAAACAAACAACAACAACAAAACATGAGTGCTGGTACATTCCTGTTGTCCTAGCTACTTGGGAGGCTGAGATGGGAGGATCACTTGAGACCAGGAGATCAAGGCTGCAGTGAGCTATGATTGTGCTATTGTACTCCAGCCTGGACAACAGAGCAAGACCTTATCTCAAAAGAGACAGAGACAGAGAAAGAAAGAGAGAGAGAGAGAGAGAGAGAGAGAACTCCCAGGATTTGGGTATCATCACTCATTCCCTGGGAGGATTGAACATTAGATTTAAACCCAACTGCCCTCTGCCCCACGCTTGCCACTCACAGGCAGAAAAGGCAATGAACAAGGTCAAGACTGCTCAGATGATCTAGGATGCCCTGTTGGGCAATTTGGTGGAAGAGTGCCAATGTGGGTCGGTTCCTGGTGTCTCATAGCAAGATTGTCTCTTGCATAAAATTTTTTAAAATGCTCTTGACAAGATAAAGATATGAGGCTATGAGAAATATACTCAAGTGTTTGGTTAAGTTGTAACAATTAATCAGCCGGGCATGGTGGCTCACACCTGTAATCCCAGCACTTTGGGAGGCCAAAGAGGGCAGATTACTCAGGAGTTTGAGACCAGTTTGGGCAACATGGCAAAACCCAGTCTCTACAAAAAATACAAGAATTAGCTGGACTTGGTGGCACGCACCTGTGGTCCCAGCTACTTGGGAAGCTGAGGTGGGAGAATCACCCACGCCGAGGAGGCAGAGGTCGCAGTGAGCCAAGATTGTACCATTGCCCTCCAGCCTCAGTGACAGAGTGAGACCCTGTGCTAAACAAACAAACAAAAGTAATTTTCAATTATTGAAAAAGGAAAATCATTTTCTACTGGCGATGAAAATATATGCTACCTCATAAGGTCAGCAGACCAGGTCCCTGTTTTCAGAAGCTGGACGGAACCAGTGGTAGAAGTAAAGCGCTGTGGCTCACTCCACTTAGGCCAGCTACCATTTCACATCACTAACACCCCCTCGAATCTGTTAACATTCTTTTTTTCCTAAAAACTTTCTTAGTGGATGTGGAAAAAAAAGGGGGCGGAGGGGCCTGGGGGATAAAGGCTACTGTCAAATTGATTAAGTGAACGCTCATTAGAGAAAGTAACAAGAGGTAAAATCTGCATATGCATTGCAGAAATGTGTCTGATCTTGCTTAAGTTGTAAAAGACAAAAAGGGCTGAAAACCTCCCTGGCTGGAAGGACTTGAGGGAGAACTGGGGGAGGGGAAAGTTCTCTAACAGTAACTTTCCTTCATTGTAAACACAAGCCAGAGCAGCCACAGACTCCAACACTCTGGTACAAACTTTGTTTTCTGATAATTTGTAGTACGATTATTTAAAAAAAAGAATTAACCTGACTGTTCTTAGAATACAGTAGCCAGTTCCTCAATTTCTTTTAATGTAAGGTGTGTGTGTGTGTGTGTGTGTGGTGTGTGTGTGTGTTTTGAGACGGAGTCTCGCTCTGTTGCCCAGGCTGAAGTGCAGTGGCACAATCTTAGCTCACTGAAACCTCCACCTCCCAGATTCAAGCGATTCTCGTGCCTCAGCTTCCCAAGTAGCTGGGATTACAGGCTTGTCAGAAGTACATAAAGACTTAAACCAGTTGATTTTGTGTCACTGGAGCATAAGTTTTGTTGTTGTGCAGTGTAGAACAGAATTTTTTTTCCCCCAGTTTTAAAAGAAAAACAAGGCTTCAGTTAACTATTTGTGTGTGTGTGTGTGTGTGTGTGTGTATGTGGTTGTTGGAGGTGGGCGGGGGCAACCCTCCCCAAAGTCTTCTAGCTTATTGGCCCAAACAAATAAATCTACAATGAAGATCCAGATTCCAGGTAACAATGTTGATTTTGGAGCAGATAAGGGTCCCTCTGCTTCTCATGACCATCAGCTTGGTAGTGTAATTCCAATGCTTAAGCTAGCTACTTGGATAACCCTTTTAAGAGGATAGTAGTATTTCCAGTTGTCCCGATCTATGAGAGTGGCCTAATATTACAGCCCTATATCATCAGGATAACCCTGATGATTTTTTGTTGGTATGTATTTTTAAGGACAAACGTTTCAAAAATAATGTCAAGTCGGAAGGTCCTGTTAACGTTCACACTCATGCATTCTTGTGATTAACATTAAATGTTTTTACTAATACCTCTAACTTGCCTCCTCCTCTCATGAAACCTAACCAGAAAATTTCTTAATGAAAGAGATGATGATGTTGACCTTAACCTCCAGAATGAAGAAACTTCAGGACTTAGTCTGAAAAGGTAAGATAGACGATGACATCAAATGTACCCCAGTTGGCAGAAACCCTTAATTTTGTAAAGTTAAAAATAAGAAAGATACAAACTTGACATTTCTTAGGTTTAGAAGAAAGACAGCACGGGTACTTGAGGTGTGAACCAAATTGTCTTGAAGATTTGAAAAGAAATGAATAATCATCATAATTTTGTGCCAGAGAATGTTCTTTGAAATATCTGCAGACTGGGGACAAAGCAGTTCTTCTCCTATATGGGGTTGTCTGAGCTGTTTTGCACCATTATGTGCTTCGGAGATCCTTGTAATTACAAATTTAAGACTTAAATCCTCAGTCCTTCTTTATACTTCTAAACTACCCCCATAGGTATATTTACTTCTTTCTTTTGTCAAGCTTAAACATTTCCAATTACCTCAGCCTCTAAAGGGAAGCGTGATGGTTACATTCCTGCACTAGTAATGACATTTATTAATCTAGTTCTGGTGAGAAATGTTGAACCTCTTGCCTTCCCAAATCATACATTTTAATTCTGAATACACCTCCAAAGAACATTGACATTGTTTAATTAAAATAAGAGTGCACATTAATAAGAAAGGATATCATTTTGTCATTTGTATGTAATTCTATTTTGTTTAAAAAAAAATGAACAGAGACTGGTAAGTTCCATAATTGCCCTCCATGGTGAAGAAATAAGTGTAGGAGAGAAGAAAAGCACAGTAAGACACATATGTTAGTAAAACACTCCTTAATACTACCCAAGCTACAGAAAATGCTACTTTGCATTTGGTCCTCAACGTGGCTAACTGCAAGCCATTGAGTAAAAAGTGCACCTTTTAAACTAATTCCATAGTCAGAAGATAGAGCCACATCTTGAAGCCTCCTCATTAATATGCTATAATGGTCAAATAAGAGATTAATAGCAAAGTCACCTGCTAAAGCAACCAGGAACCTGTTGATTAACAATAAGCCTCCCCAAAATAAGATACCAGATTGCAAAGCAAAATCAAGTCCCAGGGCAACAAGTGCTTCTGTAATTTATTCCTTCTTTATATGAGGGCATAAAGCTCCCTTTATAAACGTGTTTTCTAGGCCCTGCTGTGAGCTGTAGGTGTGAGCTTTTCAGCTGATTTATTAATTTTAGTTTCAATCAACGTGTCACCTGCAGACACAAAAATGTAGGCCTCACCACAGAAAATACAATTTAAGGAAAAAAAAAAAAAAAAAGAAAGAAAGAAAGAAAAAAATGGGGCTTTAATTCAAAAACTCTGCCAAGATTTTTTTTTTTTTTAGATGAACACTGGAACGCCTATTCTTTGAGATCTAAAATAATTCCCAGCAACGTAATTAAAAAAATCAAAATTAAACATTTTTGTCATACTTCGAAAGTCAGTCTTAGACCCAGGGAAGAGTAACATGAGGCTGCCAAAACAGTCAGCTACTCTTGTCAGTAGGGGTACATTCTCCCCAAAGAATCGAATGAACAGCAAGTCCCCTGGGCAAAATGTGCAAAAAATTCTCAATTAGTTGTCTTTATTTAGTGAGCACTATGGGGTCCTCAACCACACTATAGAATTATGGCAAGAAAGCTGAGCTCTTCACTGGCTTATTAGCATTCTCAGAGGGTTGGAGTGCTGCTGATAGCAGGCTGTTGCCTCCAAGAGCTGTTGGTGGGACCCCTACACTCCCGGGCTTTGTCCTTTTGTCCTTCTAAGCCAGCAGGAAGTACTGCCCCATGTTCGGGGCATTCTGGGATACCTTCATTCCATTCACAGTTTGCATTACCGACAGAGGCCGAAGTCTTTGTTATTGACTATGACCATCACTGTTGCGGGTTTCAATGAAAAGCAAAAGCAATCTGTATCAGTCAATTCTAAATGAAGGTTTAGGAAGTAGTCCCCTTCCAAATGAACATCCTTGTAGGGCTGGAGTGGCCTTACGTGGCCAAAGCCCCATAGGAAATCAAGGTCTCATCTTAAAATCTGGCTGCTGCATTCTTTTCATCCTAAAACTACAGTGTTAGGCAAGGGAACCAAAATAGGAGTGGGCTAATGCATATTCCAGACTGACGCCTCAGTATATACATTTTTTCAGCACTCCCTTGCCCATAGAGCTCCCCCAACGCCCTCCTTCCCACACAAACCCACCTACCCCTAACTACCCTTTCCCCAGAAAAAGAAAACCAGAAAGATGAAAACAATGAAAAAGAACTGGCAGCAACTATTAGAAATGTCTTTTCTAAACAAGAGGGTATTTGCTGCTTTAGGGAAAACACTATCATTGACTAAATTAATAAGTTGTCTTATCAACTGCCATAAGCCTTGGAGTCTAATTAATTTAGTACTGATCAATAGTCCTGAATGAGGCATTGATTT